TACCTAATGTGTGGTAAGAGAGACCAGAATAACAATTTCCAAATGTTTAAATTTGGAAGAATAAATGAGTCGATACTAACCACAAGCTACCTGACTGAGCACACGACTTAGTCTTTAAATAACTAAGATGATTGAAATATGGTAGGAGGCACTGGAATGGTGGTGGAGGGAGGTGTTGGAGTCGCCGTCCCTGGCAGTGTCAAGAGGTGTCTGGATGAGGAGCTACGAGATATGGTTTAGTGCTTGTGTAGCAATGGAAATGGGAGGATGGTTGGACTTAGATGATCTTGTAGGTCCTTTCCAGCCTGTGATTCTATGGTAGAATGAGCTCCTGTATCTCTGGCAATTAAAGAAGTAGTGATAACTTATCTTGAGTCATCTACGTAGAGGAGTTAAGAAGAGGTGATTGCTCATCATGAATGCTATGAAACTTACGCTTTACTAACATGTTATATTGCAGATTTTACAACAAGAATTTTTATAACTCAGCTACAAGCTTCTTTTGACTGTACTGTAGGATTCTTTTAACATTAGCTCCAGAATTAGAGAAAAGGATGCCTTATGTTATGCATTGGTGATTAAAAAAAAAATAATAATAATAAATTGTATTCCCCAAAATAGTAGTAGAGACAAAGGAGCTTGATTTGTTGCTTCGTTGGTGGGGCTGTTACCATTTCAGAAGTCAGTTCAGTTCCCATCAACTCGTATAACTGCATGTTTTTGTTGTGATGTTTCAAAAATAGGGGTGTTTTTTCTTTTTTTCCTGATTATTTTTCCTGGCCTTCTGAATGTGAATTTGATTCTCGAGCCTTTGTACGCTTCTGGAAATAGGACAACCAAGGAAAATATTCTCATTATAATGTAAATGATCATTAAATACCTATTTTGAAATTCTGTGAAGCTGCTCTCAATTAAATGTTTCTATTTACTTTTCAGCGACAGTGATTTGGAAAATCCACCTATTGTGTAAACAGATTTTGCTGGATTGCTGGATTATTGAAGGGAACTGATGCGGTGGAGAACAAAAGCAGTGGGACTTTTTCTTTGAGAATACATCTGATGTTTTCTTTGTTACAGTCAAGTTAGTTATTGCCTTTGCTAATTATATTTCTTGCAAGATTTGCTGAGTTTTTTTTAATAAGGCGTTCTTCTTTCTGGCTAGTAAGAATGTTCCTTTATAAATGTTAGCTGTGCTGGCATTCTTCATCAAACATCATCATGTTTGAATTCAGCTTTTTCTAGGAGTTGTATGGAAACCACTTTTTGGGTGTATTAACCTGACAAGTATGGTACATAAGAAGTAAAATAAATTAAAAATAATAAGTGTGATGAGAAAGCCCAGGAAGCTCCCTCAAACCAGACAAGCAAACAACCTCTTGGCCCCAAACTGAACTAAAAATAACGTAGCAGGAGATGCCCTTCACCTCGATGGTGGTATGAGGTGATATGGGAACCAAGTATAAAGAAGCAATTAGAATATGCTGAATTGTCAGAAGAAACCACCAGAAGAAAAATAGCCTTGGTTTCAGAAAATCTTTCTTGGATTAGCATAAAAAATTGAAATGTCTCTCATGGCTTTGGATTGATAGTTGCTGAGTCTTTTTGTGTAATTAAGATCACATCTCCTTAATCAATACAGCAGTACATCTGCTCTATCCTCATCTCAGTGAGAGGCAGCCTTTCACATTATCATTTGGTTTGCTGAGGATTATGGGAAACCTAATTAAAGATAACATGCTAAAACAGAAGTATGTAACAGTAAAAATAGTAGAAAGTATGCATTGTGAGCTTGTGTCCTTGTTTTGGTAGCTGCTTGCTACATTACACTGACTTCAAGATGAAGTAAGGATAGGGCCTTACAGGTTGTGTTTGGATTTTGCTGCAGGAAACTTTAATGGCTTTTCAAGTTTTACTTACAAAATTCTGAAGTATCATTTGAGGACTGATGGATTATATGAACTTGAGCCCTGACAAAAGATGACACAGAAATAGAGGGGTACTTGCTGGCTGAACAATTACATTTCTGTATGCAAGAATGCAAAAGCTGTAAGTGCCATGGAGAGTTTAAAGTCCTGCTTGACAAGGACTGAATTAGCAGTAATGTTAGATTTACGAATTCAAATTAAATATTTTCATTTCAATCGTTAATCAGAAATGAAAATAAATCTAAGACTGTCTGGCAATATGTCAGCTGAGTTCTTGTGACAGGAACAAAGCACTTCTTAATGGTTTTTCAGTGTATTGTAGGAAAAGGTCACGTTCTTCAAGGTTTTGCCTTGTCAGGATGAACTATCAAGGTACCATATCTCATTATTCTTGAAAACAGTGATTAGCATTATTTATCATGACAAGAGTTGAGAAATGCACAGCGAGATGTTGTGTTTTTAGACATAGAAGCTGTAGTTGAATTTAATGCCTGTTTTCTGTAGCGAAGGATGAACACACACACCATGCAAACATTCCCTAAAGGCTATGTTATGGCTCACTCACTTTCTGTAATTCTAGCTACTGCACATCAGATACAGAGGTAGACAAAAGACCTATTGATTTGAGCTTGGTTTTCTCTCTTTTAAGGGAGTATGTGCTACTTATTTTCTGCACAGTAAGGATTAAACCTTGTTGGTAACTATGAAGAGTTGCATTTTAGAGAGTTTTTAAAGGCTATTAATACAAAATATTTTCAAAAATGTCTATTAACTTACTAATAAACTGATTGTCTAACTGAAGATTAAATAGTGGATCTGTTGCTGATGAAAGCTGCTAGCTTTTGTTTTGATTTTAGTGAGTAGGATCTGTTTTGCTGACTGCACAGAATGAGAATTTGGTGGGTTTTTCAGTAGGTATACTTGATACTGATAAATCCCTGACATGTCAGAAAAACCTTAGAGCTGGGGAATAAAAACAGAATTTGGGGAAGGCAATTAAGGGCATTTTTGTGCAGGGATTTGTGTGCTGTTTGGTGCTTGGCAGGTGTGGTCTATCTTACGTCTGGCACAACAAAACAGAACAGTTGTGCTAATGTGTGCTGAGAGGTGGGATTAATAACAAAATTGTCTGCCTGGTCACTCTCAAAATTAAGAAGATTTAAAGTTGAAAGCAGGTATAAGACCACAATACAAAAGTTGCCAGGGAACAATGTGGTTACAAAGAACCCCATTAAATGAACTGCAGAGATGACTTGAGTTCAGAGTTGAATTCTGAGAGCTTTCCACCAAGTAGATTTGCATTTTTATATCATGAATGAGCTTTAAGTACTTGCATTACTTCTTTTTACCAAATAGAAAGAAAGAAAATTTGTGAAGGTCAAACTTAGTGGTGTGTGGTAAATACTAAAGATGATGCTTGTGAGAACAAATGCTTGTTAAAATCAGTTCAAAGTATATGAAGGGGGAAGAGGGAAGGCTAGCTGGCCCTAAATGCAGAGCTGTCACAGCAGGGCTGCTATTGGTGCCCTCAAAGAGCTGTTGGCACAGCTGGGGTTTACCAAACTGAGGTGCTGCGGTGTGTTTGTAGCCAAACAAGTATTCTGTGCGGAGGACTTCTAGTGGGGTTCTAAGGAAGCTGGATGTGCTGGGAAGTCTGGGCTTGTTTGACTGCTTGTTTGCTTATCAGGTGAAGGAATTCAAATAATCCAGTTTCTTGCTGCCTCCATATAAAGAATCTGATCAGTGCTTTTGGTTTTAGAGCAGCAACTATTTTTAATAAATACTCTATGAGATGGAATTGAAATTAAAACAAAGACCATAAGATCTGTTGATTGATGAAGATAAACCCAAGTAATAGCCTATGTTATCTAGATAGAAGTTCTTGTTAAATAAATGTGCTCTCTTTATCACAGTTACATTTCATATATGTGAGATACAGAAGACAAATATAAATATTTTTTTCTTTTTCCATTGTTGGAGGCTGTTGAAGCAATAGGGATCAATGTATTAGCTAAGAACCAATATATTATCATTTACTGCATGTGCCTGACAGTAGCTACTTTTAAAAATTAAATCCATTCAGATTGTGTGTGCATGTATGTGCAAACGCGCATATATATGCACATAGTGTGGTTTTTAGGTACAGCATTTTGTGTGCATATTAACATCACAATATCTGCCTGTAACAAATAATAGGTTCAACCTCACAAACTGGATTTCTTGCTTACGTATGCTAACAGCCCTTGATGTTGCATGTGCTGAAATGCTGCTGCTTCCACTGGATTCGTTTAAAATTGGAGGTGTTTCAGGAAGAGATGTTAAAATTGAAGGCAGGCATAGTTCTTGTGGGTGATTGGCATTTGAGGAATTACAATTTACAATATAGTCTGTAATAAAGATTTTTCCAAGCTTTTGCTCTCAAACAAAATAAATGGTTCGTTAAAATGTTATTATTTCGCATGATGCGATAAAGGTTTCCTGTCCACATTCCTTACATACCTTCTTTTCAAACATTGTTGTTGTATTTTCTAGACTCATGGTTATAGCATAATTTGAAATGTAATGATGGTTTTGATTCTGTAAAATATACTATTTTGCGATGACGAAAGAGAAGGATGTAATATTTTCTAATAGATGTTGGAGGCTGGATCCAATCTCTTAATATCCATTAAACAGTGGCATACATTTTAGTATCACAGTACAGTAATTACTTAAGTACAACCTTTTAAAACAAGATGCATAAGGATATTGTATGTGTTTGTTTTGGCTGCAAATACTGTTAATAGGTTTGAGCCTGATTAATTTGGAGGTTTGGTTATTATCAGGCTAAAGCTTATTCTCACATGTTCCTAAGGATACATTAACAGCAACAGCTGTAAGGTTTTGTGAAGGCAGAAAGCTCTATGGAATATTTGTAAATTTAGCTGAAAGTGGATTTGGATGCCCAAGTGTTTTAGACATTTTTTAGTTGCAGCCATAAATTTCAGATACCTGTGCTTTGCTGTTACCCATCTGAAGTAACCTATGTTGAGAAGTGCTCCTCACTGTTCAGATGTCTTTCTCTGTTATCCTCAGGAAAGATGTCTAGAGATCGAGCTCTGAGGAAACAACAGCAGTTGAATAACTTGGTAGCAGCAGTGAAAAAGCTTGCTAAGCCTGGAGATGTCATTGTGGATTTCTGCAGTGGAGGGGTAAGGTATATTTTCCTCACGTGTTGCAATTTCTTTTGGTTTTCATCTTTGCAGTTGTACATAGATGCTGCTGCAGAGTGAAGTAAATATGCTGAAATTTTAACTGCTTTTGGGTGTTCTATCAGTTGTTAGGGGATAGTCAGCATGAGATGACACACCAACATTGAAAAGTGACTCAAATTTTACTGTTCATTTTTCTTTTCACAGGGTCATGTTGGAATTGTTCTTGCTCACATGATGCCATCATGTCAGGTAAGTTCTAAATAAAAAGTACAGATGGTATGAGCTTTTGTTCTCTAATATCATATTTAAAAACATGTGCAGCTAGGGAGAATGATCTTGAAGACAAAACTTACTTTTTAGCAAGGCTTATGCTCTACAAATATTTAATTAGTACCTGTACTTATCACATTGTATTAGCAGGGAGTAGCATAGGTGTAATCACCGAAAAGGAAAGTTTAGAAGTTCCTCTTCAGAAAAAGAGAAAAACAAACAAACAAAAAACCTAAATGTACTGCAAAGTACAAATATGTAATTGAATGTGCATTGAAAGAGCAAAATAACTAAATACAGTGTATGGATGATATTACTGCTTTCTAACAAAGCCCCTAAGCTTGTGTTGTAAAGTTTGTATGGAAATGAAGCCCTTGTAATGAGAGGAGTATCTGGCAATGCCTCTGCACCCTTTTTTTTTTTTTTTTTTTTACCTCAAGAAAGGCTAAGTGTGATATGATAGCACTGTTGCTACAAGAAATCTTACAGAGGTTATTATTTCATTTGTGTACTTGTATACACGTGCTATGCTCGGTCTGCAGTGAATTCTGCTCAATCAAGGAAGTGATTGAAGAGGGTTTTTTCTTAGCTTTCTTCTTGTAACTTTTGTTTTTGTAGTGTTGTGTTGTAGAAATGAGATCCAAAAGAAAAAATAAGATTTTTTTTTTTTTTTTTTTTTTTTTTTTTTTTCCAACACTGCTGAATTGGTGATGATTTCACTCTCTTCTTCAACTCTCTCACGGCTGGGGAAATCACTGTGAGATGAAATTCAGTGAAAGGACCAAGAGGCTGGTTTCCTCTTTAGCTGTGTTGCTAGGTGTGTGTTTCTGGGCATGGCTTGGTCAGGATATGCATTTATGCTGTGCACCAGCAAAAGAGATTCTGCAGGAAGTAGATGAAGAACTCCTCAGAGAACTCAAGGTTTCACTCACACCTCTCACTGAGTTGGCTGGTAGCAAGCAGCCTCATGAAATGACATAAAGTATAAAAACAGTTACTTACATTACATATGCTTTGTTTTTCTCTTCTGTCTCATCCAGTTACTTTGTCTTGCCTTTAAAAAAAATAATAATTTAGGGTATTTTAACCCTTCAGAGACAACCTTTTGAGTTTAAAGATTTTTCACTGCAGTTGTGAAGAGCAAAAAAACATTGTTTGGAAACATTTGCCTTAGAGGTCATGATCTGTCATTGACGTGTACCTATCAAATTCTTTTCACTGACTAGGAGGAAAGTGGTTCTTCACTTTCAGAACAAACACGATGCCAAAGTCAAGAAGCCAGCAGTAGAGCTGAGCCATCCAGTCTTGCTGATGTGACCCAGACTTTCACAAAACATAACTTTGGGAAAACAAAACAAAACAAAAAAAACCTTTATGGCAGAGATTTGAAACATGCAAATTCCTAGTATAACTGCAAGTATGTGAGGTGTGTGCCTGGGGAAAGGAAGTTCTAGTTGGAGGGAAATGTAAAAATATTTGCTAACTGATTGATATTGGTAGATCTTTGATGCCTTTCATTATGTCACCTGCTAATATTCTGTAGATCTTACAAATAGAGGAGTTTTCTCAACTAAACAACGAAGTTTTGTGCATGTTAGTAATGTTGCTCTTTGATTTTTCAGTATTATTTTGTCTTACTGTGTTGTATGTGTGAAACCTAGGTGGTGCTCATAGAAAATAAGGAGTTGTCTCTGATGCGTGCTAAAGACAGAAGTGATGAACTAGGTTTAAACAACATTTCATTTATTCAAGCAAACTTGGACTATTTTAATGGCACTTTTAACATTGGGGTAAGTGTTTATAGCTTTTCAACTTCAGAACATTAATTTCAATATCTGATTAACTGTTCTTAAAACAATTACAATATTTGAGACAAGAAAATTTTATATTCATACGAACAATTATTTCTGATGCCGTGAGAAGAATCCTTGCTATTTTAACCTAAGTTAGGTTGGGTTTGGATTTATTATTTGTTGCAAACTGACATCACTTTGGTCATTATATGAGTGAAGAAGGAAGAGTCTGCTCCAATCAAATACAAAAATGAGTACTGCTGGAATGTGTTGAAAAATAGTGTGGCACATTTTTGGTTTAATCACGTGATTTTGAAATAAGCGGCTTGCTGATGAGATAACTTGGAGAGGGTTTTGAAGGCAGAAGGAAAAGACTGCTTGTGGACAGAATAAGCCTGGGTACGGTAAAGTGAGATCTGAAATGTAGAAAGGAGAAAAGCAGTTAAGATAAAACAAACTCAGGATTTCACAATGCAAAACTGACAAGAAACCTTGTAGAGAAATGCCAATGGATTGGAGGGCTGGGTTGTCACCAATTGGATGAAGTTCAACAGGAGCAAATGCCAAATTCTACACCTGGAGTGAGGCAGCCCTGGCTGCATATGCAGAGGGACAAGAGGCTGGAGAGCAACCCTATGGAAAGGGACCTGGGGAAGTTCTGGCTGATGGCAAGTTGCACACTGCTGACTCGCATTCATAGGTGGCCTAAAAGACAAGCAGTACCCTGGGATGCATCAGGCTTGGTACTGCCACTCAGTGAGGAAAGGGATTGTCCTTCTCTGCTCTCACTTAGAGCACTGGGTGCAGATTTGTGCACTGCAGTGGAAGAAAAACATCAAGCTATCAAGAAGTGTCCAAGGAAGGGCTATGAAAATGGTGAAGGGTCTAGAGGACAAGATGTATGAGGACCAGCTAAGGCGGGAGGCCTCATAGCAGCTGCAGCTCCTCACAGGGAGCAGGGGGGCAGTGCTGATATCTGCTTTCTGGTGGCAGTGACAGGACCTGAAGGAATGGCGTGGAGCTGTCAGGGTCATCAGGTTGGGTGTTAGGAAAAGGTTCTCCACCAGAGGGCGGTGGGCACGAAACAGGCTCTCCAGGGCAATCAGCATGGCCCCCAGCTGCTGTAGTTCAAGGAGCATCTGGGCACCAGTTTTAGACATAGGGATTGGGTTTTTGGGTAGTCCTGTGTGGAACCAGGAGTTGGATTTATAGTCTTTCCTGAGTCTCTTCCACTCCAGGATATTTTGAGTCTAACTATCATGACAGGGAGAATGTTATACTAATGATCTATGTGGCTGTTCTTTGTGAAGCATATACTTGAGCTGTGTTCATAAATGTAGAATATCTCAGTTTTTTAAGACTTATAATGAACACTTCTGTTGTAGCCAGTGGGTGATATTTTGATTCACAGTGACTGTAAATAGAGACCCAGACAGGCTGAGCTGTTGGCCCAGGTGAGCTTCATGAGGCTCATTGAAGCCAAGTGCAAGGTCTGTACCTGGGTTGTGGCAACCCTGCTGTCAATGCAAGCTGGGAAGTAAAAGGATGAAGCACAGCCCTGCTGAAAAGGACTTGGAGGAAACGGTGAACGGCAACTGGACATGAGCCAGCAGTGTGCCCTCACAGCCTGGAAAGCAAACTGTATCCTGGGTTGCATCAACAGAAGTGTGGCCAACAGGAGGTGATCCTGCCTCTCAGCTCTGCATTGTGAGACCTCACCTGGAGCACTGTGTCTAGATTGGGGTTGGGGGAGTCCTCATACAGGAGAGATGTGGACATGTTGGAGTGTCCAGAGGAGGGCCGCAGAAGTGACCCAAGGGATGGAACACCTCCCTGTGAGGACGAGCTGAGAGCTGGGGCTCCAGGAGGCGGCTTTTCAGTATCTAAGTGGGGGGGCTATAAGAAGGAAGGTGACAGGCTCTTTAGCAGAATCTGTTGTGACAGGACAAGGGGAAATGGTTTCACACTGAAAGAGAGGAGATTGGACTTGAAGAAGTTTTTCACACTAAGGCTGGTGAGGCACTGGCACAATTTGCCCAGAGAGGCAGTGAATGCCCCATCCCTGGAGACAGCCAAGGTCAGGCTGGAGGAGCTCTGAGCTCCTGATGGGGCTGTAGGTGTCCCTGTTTATTGCAGGGCAGTTGGACCACATGGCCTTTAGGAATTCCTTCCAACTCAAAAGATTCTATGATTTTATGATTTGAATACTGATTCAAAGTGTCTGCGTTAGACCCGGAAAGTAAATTCCTTTCCAGAATTCTAAGGTGGTAAAGTGTACGGCATAATGCTGTAAAGATTCCTCTCTTATGGTCTTGTTTTCTCTTAATGAATGGAATATGAACTTTTACAACAAGTTCTCATCTTTGGATGCAAGTCTGATTGTTCCTTAAACTATCCATCCAAGGGGCTTCTTCCACTACATCTTATAATGTTTAATGCTGAAGGTTCATGGCACATAAATCCTCCAGATCTGTTAAACGATTTGTTTGTTTCTTCAAGAAAATGAAGCATAGCGCAGCAGAAGGGAGATAAATTATTTTAGCACAGTCTTTCCAACTGCAATTTTCCAATTGTCTACCTTTATTTTCTGTGTTATATTGTTGTTTAGATTTCATTAATGAATCAAAGATTAGTTTTTTAAAAAACAACACAATCTCATGAATAAGTCAGTGATTGGTGAGAGTGAAATGTACAATAGATTGTCAGAGAAGTTTGCCTCCAGTTTTGTGGCCATGGGAGTTTTAGATCTTTTTCTGCTCTTTTTTAAGATTAATACTAAGTTAATCATCTGTGTGAAGCTTTTATTTAATAAAAGGATGTTATATTCTCTCAAATCTTGTGACAAGTTTAAATATTTAAATAGACGTCAGCAGAAAATCTTCTTTTCAAATTTTTCATTTCCAGGCCTGTGATTTCAGTGTACTTAGCTTGATTCTCTTGATTCTGTAGGCTCTTTGAGGAAACAAACCTGCAGCTTTCTCTTTTTGGAGACCTGAATCAATCTAAGTTATGGAATTAGTTTGTCTCATATAATGATTCATTCTTCTGCATGTGCTCACATTTTCTTTGCAGCTGTATGTAAGGGAGGAGCTGACTGCTTTTCTTAGCAGTAGCCCAAATGCTTGATGGTATCTTGGAAGTTGAATTATGTGAAGTTTAGCTACCTTTGAATCATTGTCACAAATGCTGGTCTGTTACCCAAATAACAGTGTAATGATGCATAGATGTATACAAAGTTTGACAGGGTATCATTCCTAAACTGTTCTTGTAAAGGTGATCTCTCATAGTTAACAAAACTTAAAGACATGAAAAAAATCAACTTGACAGAAATTTTCATCTTGCTCCTTCTGGTATTCATTTAAAACGTGTGTATATGTATCTTTAGATAATATAAAATGAATAACTGCATTATTTGGCTATTTTCTTAAGTGTTATGTGTGAGGTGCTCAAAAGCAGGTTTAGAAGAATTTATCAAGCAATTCCCTTTTGCTCTATTGGATCATCAGGGAATAAATTCAGGTCAGTGGTCTCACACTGCGTTAAGTCAACTATTGTTCTCTTCAGGGGCTGCTTTCCTTTCTCCACAAGTGAATTTGTGACCAAAATGCATTATCTGCATTTGTCTGCGTTCTCTTTGTTTCAGGTAGCATGTTTGTTATATAGGATGTCCTAAAAGAAACTGCCTTGAATTTTATTTGTGATTTTTCTCTTGAGTAAGTTGATTCTGAGGAACGAAGAAGAAACCAATTGGCTTTAAGTCAACGTAGGCTCAGCAAAACTATTGGTTTGGTGGTTGTTATTTAACCGACACAGGTTTTAGGTCTCCTTCCCAAGCATGCAAGCAAAGCAGAGGTCTTTGGAGAAATGTAAAAATAACTATTCCATGATAATCTAATAGCTGCAATATTAAAATTCATTCTAATCTTAAACCAGTTTTATTTTTGCTGTTAAATTTATAGAAACAGAAAAAAATAATTGAAGTTACTACATTTATTAATTTGAAAGTTCTCCTTGAGACAAGAGTATTTGTTACCATCTGTGTGCAGTTATAGTTCACCTCACGATTAATGGTCTGCTCAGCTTGGCTTACATCGAGCAGCCAGCAAACAAAAAAGTCTTTGTTATAATCCACATTTGAGAGAGAATTTTTTATCTTCTGATTGCTGTACCTTGAAAAACAGCTTTGAACCTTGAAACGTGAGCTTTGCAGTTTTAAGCGTTTTTTCCTAAATTCACAGAGAAATAAAAGCATAGAAAACAATGCAGCTTTACAAATCTGAACACTGTATAAAGTAGCAGGCAGAATTTTCAATCAAGGGAATGGCAGACTATTTCTCCAGAGCTGAGAGACCGTAGAAGCAGGTCAAGTGAGGTCCGTTGTTGATTTTTGTTTGATCTTTGGGATTGTCTGGTATCTAACAAGGTACAAATGGGAATGAGATTTTTTTTTTTTGTATTTGTAAATCCTTTTTGCTCAAACAAATTTTTGACCAATCTCCATAGTAGTTTCTTTAGTGTTTTTCTGGAACTTTGTTTTCCTTTGAGTTGATATGGCAGTGCGGTGCACCCATGCATGCATTTATCTTGTGACTATTTCTGAACCTTTGTTTACTGTTGGTGACTCCCTTGTGAGTGCAGTTGGCCATAAAGTTTCATCTGCATAAACGGGGAAGAGAGAAATGAAAAACCAAGAATTAAATATCAGGCCGCAGCCTTTGGCTTACCAGTTTTCATTGCTAAATACTCTTCAGATATTTAAGTAACTCAATCAAAAATATGCAACAGGGTTGTATGTAGGATATTGCTGTAAAGAATTTGCTTATTCCTGTTTTTTTTTTTTTGTTGTGTTTTGTTGTTGTTGTTGTTTTCAACATTGTAGGTGGCTCTACATGCATGTGGTGTGGCAACAGACATGGTGATTGAACATTGCATCAAGGCCCGAGCAGCCTTTGTCATCTCCCCTTGTTGTTATGGCTTCATTCAGAACACTGTGAAGTTTAAATATCCAAGAAGGTACACTAGGGCTAACAAGATAAACTTTAAAATACCAATTTAAATTTAAAAAAGAAATGCTAAAGGATTGCAAAATTAGTCAATCGTAGGTGTCTGGGCTGAATTGTTCTCAATTGCAATGCAACTAACTTCTCTTTCTACTTGCAAATTCATCCCTGACAGGGAGATTACCCTAAAAGGGTAATTTCTGGGTTATTTTTCTGGGTTTATCTATTCATTGAAGTTCACAAAGGCCTTACACTATCAACGTAGTAGATGGAGTTTGTAGAAATTGCTGTAATATGCAGACCTTTTACCTTGAAATCACTGCACTAATAGAAAGCTCATGGAAAGAACTGTAAGAAGGGGAATTGACGTTTTAATACTGGAGAAAGATGTAAGCAATCAGTTTAAATAAATGAATCTGCTTTATGCTGCAGTTTATTGCTTGTGAAACTGTTCTGATTTATTCCCATGTAGATCAGCATTCCTGATTTTTTTTTTTTTTTTTTTTTGTTTTTGTTTTTTGGATCATATTTTTAATACTTTTTCAGTGAACAGTGTAGCTATTCTGTTCTCCAAATTAGCCATGTTGGAGATGTTTATGTATGTATGTAGACTCAAGAATTTTAATTCCTTTTGCTGATACAAATAGAATGTAGAATTCAGGCAGAAAGTGGCAGAAGATGCTAACTGCTTTCCTCGTAGAGCTAGTTTGGGGAGAGGTTTATTTTATTTCCTGAAGCTCAGCTTTGCCTTTTATGTGTCCAAGATGGATCAGACTTAATCATACTAGGAATTACAGCATTGTCTCAGATCCATATTTGCTACAGTAAGAAGCTGAAACACACTGTATAAAAAGGGATCAGAAAATCTAAAATAATGCAAAATATTTTTCATATTTTTCTCCAGTATTCAAGAGCATTGTCACAGAAGTGTTCGGAGAGTAAATAACTTAAAATTTACTGGTTTGATGAACTCTGCATTTAACGGTGCTTTCTTGCTCAATTTCCTGCATCTTCATCTGTGTCCCTTTTGTACTTTGTCAGTGGAGAAAACAAAAAAGCAGTATTCTTACAGAGGTGGCAATAAAATTGTAGGCTTTCTGAAGTTAGCGCATAATGCAACTTTTCCATTGGCTTGTTAAACAGCAGCTTTTGACAGTTATGGTTTTAGGTCGTGAAGACCAGAAATGCACACTGTTAGGAATCTTCTGTTTCTATAGGTGCTGCAAGATGGTGAATTGTTGGCGTCTTTGCTAAAATTATGAATCGTGACAGTGTAAGCCAGTGTAGGAAATGATGTGGTTCATAACTTACCAAACCTTTCTTGAGCTATCTTTTAGAGCTTACTTTTAAAAATGAGGGGGAGAAAAAAGATTACAAAACATACCAGACTGCCCGTATTACTACATGACTCACATTCTCTGTGTGGCCCTTTTTTCCCCACTCTGTTCCATCTTAGAAACTTATTTTAGTGATACACAGAAAATATATGCACGTCTAGAAGTTGTATGCCTGTATAATACCTAGTATGTGAAAATATGGAAAACCTAGTAAACCTCTGATAGCATTTTTAATGGTTTAAAGGGAGGGTTTCTATGAGTAATTCAATAGAAGAGAAAAAAAAACATCAAATGTGCTTTTTCTGTATTTGTAAATGAGGTGTATTCATGTACAGTCTTTTGAATGCCTTTTGGTTTGCTACAGATGGTGCTGTTCTGTTTAAAATGTGGTCTGGTATGTAAGGATTGCTTTTGTATTGCAGCTTGACGTTTTAAGATGTTAATTGAATTGTCTTTCTTTTTCCAGTCATCAGTTCAGGGCAATTTTATCCTACAAGGTATGTAAAGTAAACAGCGGGGTGTTGTGAACAGAGGGTGTGTTGTGCCATTCCTTGCACTTCACTGGGTCTTATTAAATGAAACATGAGTATTTATCTTATAATTGAGAAGGAATGCTTGTGTTATGCAGTAGCACAGATGTCACTGCGTTGCCTTCTCTCCACCATACTTTTTTTTTTTTTAAGCTTCTTTCCATAAATTTAAATATTACTTTCCAGAAAAGGTCTTTTTATTTTCATCATAAAATGTAGAAGAGCAATTTCTAAACCAATCCTAAGGAATCTCCTTCAACATGTATCAGTTAAAAGTTACAGGGTAGCAGTTTAGTTATCTGGTCTTAAATACTAACGTTTACACTGTAGAAACTTGTAATCACAGAATCACAGAATTGTAGGGGTTGGAAGGGACCTCCAGAGATCGAGTCCAACCCCCCTGCCAAAGCAGGTTCCCTACAGCAGGTCGCACAGGTCGGCATCCAGGCAGGTCTTGAACATCTCCAGAGAAGGAGACTCCACCACCTCCCTGGGCAGCCTGTTCCAGTGCTCCGTCACCTCACTGTAAAGAAGTTCTTGTGCACATTTGTGCGGAACTTCCTATGCTGCAGTTTCCGGCCGTTTCCCCTTCTCCACTCACCACTGAAAACAGTCTGGCCTCGCCATTCTGCCCCCCACACCTTAGATATTTATAGACCTGGATCAGGTCCCCTCTCAGTCTTCTTTTCTCCAGGCTGAACAGACCCAGTTCACTCAGCCTTTCTACATAGCAGAGATGCTCCAGGCCCTTCACCATCTTCGTGGCTGTCCGCTGGACTCTTTCCAAGAGATCCTTGTCTTTTTTGTACTGGGGAGCCCAGAACTGGATGCAGTACTCCAGATGAGGCCTCACCAGGGCAGAGTAGAGGGGGAAGATCACCTCCTTCGACCTGCTGGACACGCTCTTTTTAATGCACCCCAGAATGCCATTGGCCTTTTTGGCCACAAGGGCACACTGCTGGCTCATGGCCAACCTGTCATCCACCAGGACACCCAGGTCCCTTTCCGCAGAGCTCCCCTCCAGCAGCTCATCCCCCAACCTGTACTGGTGCATGCAATTATTCCTCCCCAGATGCAAGACTCTACACTTGCTTTTGTTAAACCTCATCCGGTTTTTTTCTGCCCAGCTCTCCAGCCTATCCAGGTCTTGCTGAATGGCAACACAGCCTTCAGGCGTGTCAGCCAATCCTCCCAACTTCGTATCATCAGCAAACTTGCTGAGGGTGGCCATTATCCCCTCATCAAGGTCATTGATGAAGATGTTGAACAAGAGTGGACCCAGCACAGACCCCTGAGGAACACCACTGCTTACAGGTCTCCAGCCGGACTCCGCACCACCAACAACGACCCTCTGTGCTCTGCCAGTCAGCCAGTTCTCATCCCACCTCACTGTCCACTCATCTAATCTTTTTTAGATACAATTGTTACTTTTGTAGATACTATTTTCGTTACTTTTACAGATACTATTTTCTGGTGAAATCGTACTTCTCCCTCAAATTTATGTCTAGAAGATCTCATACAATGAGCAGGAAAAGATAATTCTCTTCATCAGTAATTTTGTGCAGTACTGTTTTAAAAACTTTATGCAAAATTAATTTTAAAAGATTCAAATGTGTTTTGATCCTGGAGAGACATGGTCTATGTGGATGTAGTGTGAGAAAAGTGGGAGAAAGAAGCAGTGAAGCATGCAGGTCTGACAAAATGAAGATAACAGAGGAGTAAAATAGGACAAGACAGTGCAGTAGTCAGGAGATGACTGGTACTGATTCATGGAGATTTGTCCACTGTGTTTAAACTTAGTGATGAGCAACCAGGGTTGTGAAGGTTAGATGCAATTAATGTGGTATGGAAAGAGAATATTTCTATTCAAGAGAAGTAAGATTCTATAGAAACTTTATTAACACTAATTTATCACATCCTAGGCAAAGTCTCAGTGTTTAGAAAAGAATTTTGGAGATGCAGAATAGTCTTCTATTACAAAAAGATGTTTGGAAGATGCTATTTTTAATCTCCAAACGTGCTTTGGGACACTGAGCATACTGAAGAATGCTGTGTATAGCAGGAAGAGCTTTTTGATCCTGCAGTAAGAGGACGTTTGAGAAAGAAAAAATTAAAAACTTCAGCCAGCTTATACAGGGAGGTTCAGTTATTATAGTCTTTGTGGCAGACTGATCTAACACTTCACTGACTTGCACAGAAATAAATTTCCATAGTTTGCATTGGTAAAAGGGCATAGTGAGATTTGAATCTGTGATTAGTTTTTTCATCGGTTAACATTCCTTCAGCACTTTTACAACTTTTAACACACAATCAAGAAAAAATCAGGTTTGAGGTTAGAAAATATTTGCTCACATACTGTTAAAAGTTGACCAGTTCACAGTACAGACAGGTATGGTGACATGAAATCAAGGAAGCCTAGGTTAGGATAGTGTGTGCAATATTATTGAAGTTCTGATTGTTGTTGTTGTTGTTTTTCTGCTCTTTTTTTTTCCTTGATTCTATTTGTATCTGGATATTTAAATTGCATGTTTTATCACCTCTTCAGAAATTTCAGCATCGTTTTTGAGTTGCAGAACTGCATAGGGGCCAAGGACAATGCTTAAAAAATATTTCTGTTCTTAATAATGTAAGAGTTTGTACAAATGATCTCGGCTGGATGGTGCCTCGAGTAATCCTAGTTATAAATAACCTCTGTTACACAGCTAGCTGTATGCATTTTTATATATTTCATATTAATAAACTTTTAAAGGATGCTGGCTAGTAGCCAAAGCTACCATGTGCTAGCCAGACATTGTCTGTGTCACCCCCCTCCAGTTCCCATTTGAAATTCATTTCTCTTATCTCCCATTTTAGTGAGATCTAAAAAGACATCCAGAAGTCTGGCAGTTCTAAAACGTTTTTGATGAGAACATTATGCTGTAATTCATTCATTTACAGTTGCAAAGGTTATGGTAGCTCTAGATGTCTACCATGATACATTTTTTTTAAAACTCTATTTGTCAAGATGCTCTCCCTGTCAAAGACCTAGAAAGAAAGAATGAATAACTTTAGATATATGGCTTTGAAAACTTGATTGGCATTTTGTGGGTATTCTAAAAAGCAAGTTAACAGCTTCTGCATGCACAAAGTTTGTGCAGTTTGAAGTGGTTATTCTAGTTACTTCAGAAATGCTTTTCTCCTCATTTTTAACCAACAGAAGGTGTCACAATTTATTGGTTCTGTCACAGGAAAAAGATGTGGTTGTAAGTTAGACTTCAGTTTAACTTTAAGGCTCATCTCTGGTAGGAAGCTAAGGCACTGGAATCAGTCCAGATTTCCAGGTTAAGTGGCAAGTCTTATTCTTCCTCTCCTCTTTTCTTTCCAAGCTGCTTATCTCTCTGCTGTTCCCTCTCTCCTAAAAACAGCCACGTTGCCTCTTTTTTTTTTTTTTTCTCTGTTCCCTAGTACCTACTTCTGGTTTAAGCATTTTCAATCCTTTCATTCTACAGAAATAGTAATATTTAAACAAAAAAATACAGCAAAAATGCCTGAGCAAAACATACTGAGTTCTAATCATGTTATAGCATGTTGCACATTTATTATGGAGCTGTGAGCTAAAACCCTTGTGTGTGTTAGCTATAGTAGGGAACTGCCTCAATTGTACCACATGATTACATTAAGTACAATTTGAGTTTAAAGGCAGGCAAGAAACGTGTATACTTGAGTAGAAATCTGCTTATAGTTACACTTGATTTTTCAATTTTTTTTACAACGCAAAGTAATATAAAATTAGGATTTGCACACTGATTTTTTTTTTTAAAACAGTTTTCTACATGATAGTGTTTTTTAATATATCTGAATAGTAAATTAGAATCATAGAGTCACAGAATAGCTTGGATTGGAAGAGATCTTAAAATCATCTAGTTCCAACCCCAATTAGATTTTTCTTACCATATTCAAAAGAAAGAAACGCTATGAACTAAGTATCTTTACTTTTCCTTTTAGGAGCACATGATCCTTTGTAGGTTTGCAGATCAGACAGCTGTTCATCTTCCACCTGATCGGAAGCTGATAGGTATGAATTTCTACAGCTATTACTTAAAACATTTTAGTAAAGTCTTTACACTGCTATATAAAGGAATAAACAGTGCTGTGAAATCTGGGTTTCTTCATATTTTTCTCCTTGCTGTTCTGAACTATGGTGTTAAAACTGGTTTCTTTGTTTCTGGTTATTAGGTTATTAGGTTATTAGAATGAGCCAGAGGGATTGCATTTTACCTTTTTCTTCTCCACATTTTTCCCTTCTATGAAAAAAGTGAGGTTTTTGTGAACTTCAGTGAAGTCCTTCTATTGCCAGTCCATTTCACATTAAAAGCATTTGCTATTTGTAGCAGTGATTTGCAGTGTGAACCGTTTATGCTGCTTGTAATTGCTGGTAGTAAGCTATTCAGATGGGCCAGTAGCACCAGCTGTAAACAGCAAAACTACATCACAGAATTTAGGCTACATTTGATACAGGCTTCATGGCATGCAAACCTATTCTGCCCACCTCAATACTAAATTTGTAATAATCTTGGAAAACATCCTGAAGATTTTCTGGGACTGTATTTAAATGAGTAATTCTAATTTGACAACTCTGACCAGAGCACAATTTGGCTTGCCCCTTATTGGGGTTACAAGCTTTCCCATTGAGGGAAAGCTTATGCTATAGCTTCAGATTTCTGTATTACTGCAATTTTGAATGAGAGTAGCTGCCTTCTTTTGGGTTATTTCCTTGCAGTTAGTGGCAAAAGCAATATCATCCCCATAATTTCAGATCATTGCTTAACTGTTTTCTGAGATAAAGAAGTGCATAAAGTTGGTGGTAATTTCATTACCCACATAGACAGCAAAGTATAAACATAGTATTTAATAATCAGAAGCACAGAAGTTCATATTATGCATAAGTGTACACCTCACTGTTCTTCCACTGCTTTTTCTATCTTTTTTTATCTGAAGAAATAATAAAAAAAAGACTTAAGATTTTGAAAATATGGAATAGGCAAAGCTGTTTCTTCATTACGTGCAAAATTCTAGTTTTTTTTATTCATAAGAGGTTATAATGTGCTCCTGTCTGGTACTAATGTTCCAGTGGAAGCTATAAACTAGACTCCATGTCAGAAAAGACAGAAGGGCTTGAGATCTCTAAGGATATAATGGTGGATTCTTGGCTCGTGTGAACCACACAATCACAGAATGACAGGGGTTGAAGTGATTCTATGACCTCAGGAGATCATCAGGTCCTGCTAAAGCAGGTATCCCACAGTAGGTTGTGCAGGTAGAACTTTGTATGTTCGAGTTTTAGGCCACTAGTCCTTGTCCTACCACTACATGCCATCGAGAAGAACCTGGCCTCATCCATTAGCCTCCCACCTCCCTTTAGATATTTATAAGCATTTATTAGATCTTCTCTCAGTCGTCTTTTCCCCAGGCCAAACTTTTCCCACGTTATTCAGCCTTTCCTCATACAAGAGATGCTCCAGGCCCTCTATCATCTCTGTGCCCCTCCACAGGACTCCTCCTAGGAGATCCTTGGTTTTTTTCTTTTTGTTTTTTTTTTCCTGGTGAGCCCAGAACTGAATGCAGTAGTCTATACGTGGCCTCACCAGGATGGAGCAGAGGGGGAGAGGATGCCCTCCCTTGACCTGGTGGCCACAATCTTTTTAATGCATCCCAGAGTACCATTGGCCTTCCTGGCAACAAGGGCACACCGCTGTGCCATGGCCAACCTGTTGTCCACCAGGACCCCTAAGGACCCCTAGGTCCTTTTCTGCAGCGCTCCTCTCCAGGAGGTCATCCTCTGTCTGATATTGATGCACATGGTTATTCCTCCCCCACTTACTAAGCATATGAAAGCAGTGGAAGCAAATAATCATGTTTTTCAATAAGACTTGTTCAAAGAATTTTGATTATTTCCTATACTAGCTGCAGAAAAAGAAAGAAACACAGGTACTAAGATGACAGTATTTTACAACTTGTCTGTTCTGCTATCATCGTGGTATTTGTGAATGGAAAAAAAAAAAAATCAGCATTCAGGTATCAGTGTAGCAACAGGAATTTTCTCCTGCTGTTTGCTAGATGGACTGAAAGTTGGAAGAGGACTCAACATCTTTTAAAGATTGTAACTGTTACCTTTTCTCTCTCTGAAACTGTAATTTTTTTTAATCACAAACATAACTTCTATGTTCTTTTTCCTGGCAAAGACCAAACACAAATCATTTTTCCCCCTTCCCAGACAGGAAATGTCATTGCTTTTTATGTTTTAAAGAATGGTTGTTGCTTTATTTTTCCCCTTAAGGTTCTAGGTAACGCTTCTCAGCTGAATTGAAAACCATTCCCATTCCATTTAACTATTTCAGCTGTGAAACTCGATGTTGGGCTGATTTGTCATGTTTGCAAAAAACTTCAGATCAACTCAGATTAGTGTTGCAGCCATTGTGAGATTTTGTTTATGTCTGTGTAATGCATAATCAGATATTGAGAAGCCTCTGCAGATTTCATTTAATGCAAAATATTTCTAAACAACTGAAGGCTTTTTATTTTCAGTTGTAAATGATAATGGCTTGTTCTACTTTTAAGAATAGTATTGTAAAATGTATTTCAGCAATTATGCAGCCTCAGTAAACTAACATAATTTTGTTTAATTACCTAAAAGCCCCTAAATAAGCTGCACACAAAGTACAGCATTATAGCTCCCCTCACAAATTGGAGGCTACCACCAAAGTAGAATCAAAATGTCATTATCTTGATGAAGTCAAAATAGTGAATTCAGTTGAGAAGTAAAAAATAGTTCTGGCCATCAGCTCACTGTGGAAAGAGAGGAAAGACTCCACTAAACATTGTATTGAAGTGTGATGTGCACCAGCTGTCCTGAAATGCAAAGATACTAGGGGACATGTTCATGCCAACTACCTTAAGCTTGCACAGATGCTTACCAGGTGCAACCAAATTCCATATATATTGAAGGGAAATAAATAAGCAAGTAAGAGAGTAGTTTAGAATACCTGACTTATGTGCTGATGATGAACTGAATATGAATTCTCTTTATGAGTACTGATCTCAGTCCAAAAAATACATAATTTTGCAATTCTTTCAAGAAAGAGAAAAGGGACAGTAATATTGGCTTTGAGAGTGGCTTGGCGACTGTCAGCCAGTTCCCTCAGGACTCTGGGATGCATCTCATCAGGACCTTTAGACTTGTGGATATTCAGGATCCTCAGGTAGTCACAAATCTGATCTTTGCTCACAGTTTCATTTATGTGTCTTCAGATCATCTACACTGGATAACTATTCAGTATTTTCTTCCTTCCTTGCTTGTTAGTAACCAAAGATTTTCAGATTTTAGATCAAATTGTGGTAGGAAAACAACTATGGTTATAAAGGAGTAAGGATTCAGCAACTCAGGAGCTGAGGGACAAACTAGCTGTTTTCTTCCTGTGGCTTTTATTTTAATGCACACACTCTTCTGCAAGTTTTGGGAATACTTAAAAATAGCTGTGCCTATTATATTTCTCCCTACGTACAGAGTTAATAATCCTTCTGAAGAACGTTAGTAAATGAAGGTTACAAGATGCAGATGTGATTTAGAACTACTAATGCTTGTCTATTTGAAGTAAAACAGATTAAGATAGATTTTAAAGCAGATTTGGAACTTTTTTTTGATGACTTACTGATGTTTCGTCTTAAAATTGAAGTACATATTTCTGATAATCTTGCGTATTTTTAGACTTTCTGTGCTCTCCTTTCCTCTTTTTTTCAGGAAAGCAGTGTATGGGGCTTGTGGATCTTGATCGAGCATGGGCTGCAGAAAGATGTAACTACTCTGTCCAAGTTACATCGATGGAGCCAGAGAGCTGTTCTCCAAAGAACAATATGTTTGTGGGCACCCCAGTTTAGACAATGAAATTTGACGTTGATCATAAATCTTCAATGCATAAAAACATACAGCAAATACAAGCATACTTGGAAACCAGACATCATGCATCTTGAACCCATCGTGTTTGGAAAAGGAAGCAGCATGAGAAGTTTTAGAAAGTGAACTGCATGCAGAGCATTGCAGATTGTAATGTGTCATTAAGCAACTTTAGGTTCTCATAGTGAGAAGCTTCTCTAACAATGGTCATAGAATTGCATCCATCTGCAGAAGCTTAGAAAAAAGGGGAAGAAGGCTTAGAAGGGAAGGTCATTTCCTTTTCAGTAAAGCTGTCTTGGCTGCTTCAAAATTGCATTCATGTTCAAAACTTCATTTGTGCTCGTGGGCAGAGCAGTTATCAGCAGGTAATGCAGTTCACTAGAGGGAACAGATTTATGGTGTAGTGATGGAAAACTGTTGCAACAGTGATGAAACAGTGATCAGATGAAACTGATGCAACAGGTGTTGGCTAGATTTTGCTAAAGAATGCCATACTATTTCATCAAGATTCTTAATACAAATTCTTCAGAATGCTTTCAGCATCACTCTGCATATAATTTGTATTCCAACTTAATGCTTTTAAAAATGATGTAAAATTTTTACCTTTAGATATTGCACAAGAATTCTGTACCCAGTCATTGGAAAGTGTGTGTGGGGGGGGGGAGGGGGGAGAAGGGGGGAGGTAAAGAGAGCAAACTCTTATTTCTCTGTCCTCCAGATTATAGAAGCTAACAGTGATGTAACAATGATGGTTAGTTCACTGCCACCTCTGCTAATTGAAATGGATTACTTTCCATTTGAAAGAGACTTGCTGTCACATACAATTTTTAAAAGAAGTTCTTGTGTCCATATATGTCATCTTTATTTACTTTTATATTCAATTTAAATTTGGAAGAAGTTGCAGTTGTGGAATTATTTGAAAAGCTCAATCATAGACACGTTACCATTAAATGAAAATAAATGTTCTTCTGTGTTTGGGTTAGTATGCAGTTTTCTACCCTACTCTGTTCACACTGTCACAGCAAAAAAAGCTCATAACAAGATATTTCTTGTATGTTTGTGGGTTTCATACACTTCCGAATTCTGCAGGGGTTTAATTTAAATATATCTGAAGTTTAATCAGCATATGTGAGAAAGAGAATTACAAACAGCAACAGGTACTGGAGGAAAAGAAAGGATCTCAATATACTTTATTCTTTATGAAAGCTCTTTCTAAGAGATCTAAATATTTGTTTTAATGTGAAGATTGAAGGAAGCTGCACTCTTATTTGGAAGCACAAAGGTAAGCAAATAGGCATTAATTCATACCTGCACTGTGAATTCTTGAAAATAATGTAGTGTTTTTTCTGCAATTTTCTATAGTTAGAAGAGAAGGTAGGGATTGGGAGATTGCATAGCTAGTATAAAACACTTGGCAATATCAGTTGCCTTTGGAGGTTTTGCTCAGAGATACATTTGCCAAAGAGAACTGTTTGTAAGTTAGAACTATGTCAAATATGAACATTATTCACATTAATTTATTTGGATCTCCAGATTGTATATCTAGAGTGAGAAAATTTCTTCATTACTTTTTTGTGATGAAGGAAGGACAATATTATGATTACATGCAAAACTGAAATCAAGTTTATTTTTTTCTTTGTTTGCAGCTATTTCCCTGATAAGCCATGTGTAGGGAAAAGTATTTAGGCTAGTTTTATAACAAATCAAAATCATGCAGGTCATTTCTGAGTGAAGCAATTAGTTTTAAAACTTTATAGGTGTCAAGCATTGTATTTCTTAATTAGTAACTCAAAATTATTTTACTCAACTATTTGAGTTTCTCACATGTTTTTTTCAGATATGCTACTTGAATGCTTCAGTTTATGCAAAGTGAGTGATACTATTGGAGATTTCCTTGTTAACTGATTAAATAATCAGTGATTCTAGAGGTTAAATTATTGACTAAAGGTACACTGCTTCCTCTTTAGACTATTTCACTTGACTGTGCTGATTTTTCATGAGTTTGTACAGCATCAGCTGAGATGGAGCCCTTGGAACAGGGCTAAATGATACAGTTGCACTAATAATGAAGACAACTATTAATTTTAGTGTTTACCATTTTAAACATAAATACTTCATGATCATAGAGAAACATGAACTTGTTACGTGAACTGAAATGTACCTTGTTACCAAGTTATTCTTTTTTGTTGGTCATCCTTCCTTAAGTGTAAAAGTTCCTTGAATTTTTAGAATTAGAATGGCTCTTATGCAAGTACCTGTGGGTTGGAATCTTGGCTGCACTGGAGGTGGCAAGCTCTCTGTGATGCTGAATACGTTATGTTTTCATCTCTGACTTTAATGTATATGGCACCTGACTTTTTAATTACTTCAGTATACTAAGCCATCATGATGTTTAGACTCCAGTATTTGTTCAGTTCACAGCAGGTATGTCAGCACACAGAGAATCTATTGCCAATTGTTTTTTGGCTGATATTGCCATGTTTTTTCTTTGTAATTTAACATTATCCCTTCTTTTCAGTGGGTATCTTTTTGAGTTTGGAATTTGTTTATCAACACCAGTGCCCAATATGGTATTTGTAAACTGATGAGGATGGAGTTACGTTTCTTGAAGTTAGAAAAAAAATCTATGTTCTGTCTGTATTTGGAATCACAGTGCAACTGAATGAGTGATGAACTCAGCAGAATCTTAATATGTGGGTTCTAAAATAATTTAAATAATGGTGTTGGTTAAAAAGGTGGCCATGAAATTTGGGGCAATTGCAGGGTAGCTGCAGAAGCATTAGGCTTAGGTAAAACACACAAAAGAAAAGGCATCTTCATTTCTTGGATGTGTCCCCTTCATTGGCAGAAAACAAGATCTAATTTTAGAAAGTGTTCTTAATATTTCTCAGCACCTTATCCACCATAAACGTTAGTTGACATTGAAATATTTATACTTTTTTCAGTCAAGAGTAATTACTTTATCTTTCTATTAACATATCATTATATGATATAAATTACTCTCTCCCGGTTCTAGTTTTCCAAAGTTGACTTGTTCTCTACATCCTGGAACAGCATTCCATACATGCTTTTAATTGTTGACAACTTCTTCTGAGCATTAAATGTTGACTTAAAATAATGCGCCAGTGTAGTTGGTGCTTTTTATTCGAGTATGTTGTTGTAACTCTAACATTTCTAACATTTATATTATGTTTGCTGTGTTTGGTGTTGTAACATTAGATGTAATTTAACGTAGCATTTTGACAAGATTTTGACAATTTATGAAGGTACAGTAAGTTACTATGAACTGTTGTCAGTATCACTAGTATCTAGTATCAGTAGAGCTCTAACACCTTCAAATGTAGCATTATAATCCTCAGTTAAAGTAAATAGGTGCATCTGTCCAATAATGGATGAAGGAGACAAAGGAAAGTCGGTTTCATTTATTTCGTTAAAGCAATAACGAGGAAAAGGCTTATTTAGGTGAAACAGTGTAACAGTTAATTAATCTCTGCCATGTAACAGTCTTGATTACCAGATTTTGATGTGTTTCCTGGTGTTGCTGTTTCTTTTTTTCTTATGCTACTGTTTAGAGACAATAGAAATGATGCCAAAGACCTCAGCGTGATTCCTATTACAGCTGTATCAAGCAGCAGTTTTTCAACTGTTTGGGATTGATGTGCCAGAACAGATGTTCCTAAAACAAGGTTGCAGGTAAGAAAAGAGATAAATCTTGTGTTTTATGCTTTGTGTTTGCAGTTGATAGCTGTTTACTAAGGAGGCTACAGAGTTAAATGGAAATAAGCCATATCAGGTTGGAAATCTTCCAAGACTCCTCATTCTGTGATTTTCCAGGAAGGGAAGTGAGGGTGACCTGCCTGTGATTCCTCATGTTGTACTTCTTGCTTTAGTATTTGCCTCTCTGAAGCCATTGGGGAGCCTCTCCTGTTTCACAACCTATTAAAGAGGAGTCTCATGAAGGTTTCAGACAGTTCTCTCTGTACTACCAGGTGCATCCTATCTAGTCCTTTGGACTTGTTTTGGTCAGAGAATGGTTTTCAAGAGGGAGAAATAGGCTGGAGATATGGTATGATGGAAATGTTAAATCTGGAGGAAAGGAAGTTAACTGACATATGAAATAAATATGAACAAGACTAGAACTCACTTTTAATTTACTCATTCAAAAAAAAAAAGCTACAGAGTAACTACACTGTTGAAAAAAAGTCTGATTCTTATCAGATGTTTTGCCTAATACTTTCAATACAGCCAATGTAGTTTCAGTGTAAGCAGAGGAGCAGTGCAAATGTGCAAAGGAAGGTTGAGTTGAGTAGGCAGTAGTTATCTGAGATACTCCAGCTGTGGAACTCAATCCTTCTAGCAATTCTGTCTCGCTCCCCATCCCAGCATGTTTTAAGATATTTTTATCTGTGTTCTTTTTCTGGATTGGGGACCATTTCTGGTTTACCTGTGGCTGTTTGAACTAGTCTAAGAGCTTTGCCTGTTTTTGTTTTGATTTGTTTTTGTGATAAGCTGACCTACTCCTTGGTTGCATTGACTGTATAAAAACGCGTATTAGAAGACATGTAAGAGGCCAAGAAAAACACATAGGTGATTTTAACAGCTTATACACAAAGAATCCTATTGTTTTGCAAAGAAAATACAAAACTGGTGTACTAGAATAATGTAATCAACTTAGAGCTTTGCACAGAACTCCAGGGGTACCAATAAGTTTGTAAGTGTCTGGGTATGCATTTTTATAATGTGTATGTTTCTCTGTGGCATCTCTGTTCAGCCAGTGGAATTCCCCATCACAAATTCTCCCTGAGCCAAGATTTCAAGATTTAAATCGCGCTCTTAAATAGAGCTTGTTAAAAGCAAAACAAAACAAAAATGGATTGCTTAAGTAATCCATAGTTAAAAGAGACAATAGTGAAGGATCGTGGTGGATAGAAGCTTCCTGTTTTAGAGCTTACACCAACAACTTTGGGCCACCCGCACTCCTTCAACAGCAGAGTTGCCCTTTTCTTTGAGGTCTCTGGTCAGGACTAGTATTGGCAACCAGAACAATCAGAGTTCTGAATTGCTGTTTTAAATCCCTGGTGCCACCATTTAATTAAGTGACTGACTTCTTAAAATCAACTTTTACTCAGTCTTCTTCAGCTAATAAGAGGCTACTGAATTGCACAGCTTCTAGTTATTATGGTTTTTCATCAGCTATTATTGTTTTTCATGCACTTTGGCATAAACTGTAGGTTTATTTCGTGGATAGATAACCTGATCTCATACTCATGCTGTGTTAACAGCTCCTGAGCTATGATGCATATATATTACTGTGGCTCAATATAAGCTTGGATGACATCATGAACAGATGATAACTTCTGGTCTGTTGTACTGCCATTGCTTTCTTAAACAGAATCACATAAAATATAGACAATTCAGATTGTCTAAGAGGCCAGGAGATGAAGTAGATATATGTATTTCTGTGCACTGCTTTTGCATGCTTTTAGTTAGTTTTGTAGAAGTAGCTAATGTTTGGCACCATGAAGGTTGTTTTTATTCGTTTGGCATGTTACCGTTCAAATACCCATTTAGTGTGGTCACCTACTACAGAAATAGTTAAACAATACTGTAAATGGGCATGTTCTCTTTGTTAGGATGATTGCTGACACAGAGTTCTTTTCATTAAGTAATTTGACCGCAGCCATCTCTTTACTTTGGAAAAGACAGAGGAAAAAAGCTCTTGCAAATATATTTTTCTCTCGGTTTTCATATTTGCAGTGCTTGTATAGGGGATATAATTAGAATTTCAGAATAAATTACCCAAGGTATTGGATGAAAATCAAGACTCAGATAAACGTTTAATTCCTCCTTTTTTTGCATTTGACCATCATACACAAACGTTTGGTTATAAATGGATGCCTCATCCTTGTTAGAGTAACATTTTGTATTCAAAGTAGGAATCTGGAAAAGAAAATTTTTAAGTGATTTATGCAATTTGAAACCTTCAGTTAGTTTACAAATCTCTTTTACAATTGGATTACTTTTATATGCTCTGTCATAAATACCAAAAAGCCCTCAAAATAAAATGTGTTCCAGAATAATCCTTACTGAGAGTTTCCAACTGCAGCTTTTAGCTCCTAATAATCTTAAACTAGCAGGATATCTGTACATGATTAGTATACACAATAGCTGCTGCTACAAGAATAAATACTACTGACATGTATGCTGTCAGTCTGGAGGGCATAAACCTTCTAATTGATTTTGTGTTAGCACCTACCTTGCTTTTAAGAAGTGAGGACGTTCAAGTTCTGAGAGTAACACGGCCTCGCTCTGTGTTCTTACTCAGAATTTGCTGGTGTGTGTGGAAATTACGAGAAGGTTTATTTTAAACTTGTAAAGGGTAGTCAGTTTTGTTAGCATTCTTCAAGATTAGGTGCACATCTTTTTCATCTGTTAACCATGAGGATATGGACAAATATGTGCAAAAGATTGCTATGATCTAATACCTGCTTCCATGTACAGACAACAGTCTATGCAGTGCAGAAAGCACTGTTTTTAAGTGGACTTAATCCAATTGCTTTCTGTTCCAACATGTGTTAAATGTGTTCCTTTTTCCTTTTGTGACCACTGCTTTTAGTTTCAATGAAAGTACAAACTGAGTACTACTACCAGTCTAATTTTCTGATGGCATTCTTTAACTCCACGCAAGGGAAAAATGGCAGCTTGTTTATCTGTGGATGCCCTCTGCCTTTGAGAGCTGACAGTTCAGAAGGGGCACTGTTACTCTACTCAGACAATTGCAAAAGATTTTTGAGTAGTTTATGCTATAATTCTTGAAAGAAAGTAGAGCTTTTTATAGACACTTTACTATCTGTCTTTCAGTTCTAATACCTCTCCTGCTGGACCAAGCTCAGTCATCAGAGTTATGCATGTATTAGAAGTAAAAAGACAAGAACAAAATGTATTTCCTTGAATGTGTCAGCAAACAACCTTTATCCCTTTGTTTTAGTTCACAGAACAGTTTATTAATTCTTTTACTAATGCTTTTATTAATTCTCTTACCTGGGTATTCTGCTATTTAAAGCTCTGTAGAGCTCTCTAAAATTGATTTTTTTTGTTTGTCCTAGAATATTTTGTCATTGCCTGTAAAGCAGTTTTGATTGAAAACTGTTGATAGATTTGTTCCAGTGTAATTCTTAGATTTTTCCCTCTCCTTTCATGAAACAGTCACAATTCATTTTCTGTTCCTGAAACTTTCTTACTTTTGTTATTGCAGACCTTCTTCAATCCTAATGAAAAAACTTCTAGTTTGGAGCTCCCAGTCCATCTCAGCCAGAGCTACTGTGTTTCTCTACCTTAAGAAAATCTCAGTTAAGGAGCATGCTTGCTTATTTAAGACTGAAGTCCGTATCCAACTGTGCATTAAATACTGATCCCAAATTAACTGTTTCCCCTCAAAAAGTATCCATAAAAACCTATAGAATTGTTCAAAAGTGTTATTTAGAGTTATGTATTGGTTTTGAATATAGAGCTTTAAGAATATAGTAAGATTATATAAAGTAAGATTGAATGCTGCTGCATCATTTGAGCAGACTGTAGAAGAATCAGAAACTGTTTACCAGACAGGTAGATAGCCCTGAAACTCCTTAATTTCCTTTCATACTGAGCACTTAAGCCTATCTTAAATCTTCTCCATCCTCTTACCACTCACATTGTAATCTGAAGACGTGAATTTAATGGACTTCTTGAAGTTTTTTAAGTGCTACATAATGAAAACCACCAATAAACTTTGTAATGCTCAAAGGCATTAAAAGGCTCACAAGCAACTACGTATGTGATAAATATCATAGCAGTCCTGTGCTGTATGCAGCTGTTAGAGACTATACTTGATGGGATCTGTCTCGCTTTTGACTTTCAGCGGACAGAAAACTTAGTGATGTATGTTGTTAGTTTCACTGAGGTATTTGATTTTACAGGATCTGAGGACCTGACCCAGGATTATCCCAGTCCATTACCATTATATTTGCTAGAATATGTAATATTGGACTCACTGCACAGAGAGGTAGTCTCCATTCTTGAAGGTGCTCAAAATCTTTGTCTTGGGCCAGCAGATCTATACAGCTGTACTTGAGTAGGGGTTGGGACTAGATGACATCCAGAGAACTCTTCCAACCTCAGCCGTTCTGTGGTTCTGTGAAACAATGGAAGCAATAGAAGTTATCATCTGTCCACCCTGTTTGAACTTCTGAAAATTCTTTTGGGTACTGCAAACATCTTTTCACCACCTGTAGTAGGCTTTCCTGCCTACTAGCTCTGCTTGCCCCACATCTCAGAACGTACTAGGAATTTTTCATATGTCAAAACAAGATGTAAATTAAATAAGCAATTCCATGAATTAGACAAGCAATTCTTTTCTTGATAACAGCAATACTAACTCATTTATGTCAGTAGTCCTAGGTTCAATTACAAGCAACTAGTAACAGAGGATGCATCTCGTTACACAACTATATCTCAGCTCATACAAGTGACATGACAATGCCTGAAATCAAATGAGATGGCAAATATGAGGACCCAGAGTATTTTATATAACTTGACCTAATTTATCCCACCTTTTTCAGAATCTGTAAAGCAGTTCAGGTTCAGTATGACAAAGAACAATCCAAAGAATTGGGTTGAAGTAATTCTCTATCATTTCTCTCTGGAAAGGCATTGTCAGGCAGCATATCTGTGTTAATATAAAACTGCAACTTTTTTTTTTTACCCCTAATTTTGGCAATGAATCCATGGCATGGAGATAAAAACAAAGTTACAGAAACTGTTATAATCAAGGTTGATTTCTTAGCCTACTGTAAAACATTTTCTTTGGTTCTGCAATTACCTGTGTTTTTTCTTGTTGCAAGGAATGTGTTTCATGAGCAGAATCATTTGAATCCATGCTGTGGCAGATTAATTTCATTTGCTTCTTTTGACAAAAAAAACAATTCTGATTACTTTTCAGACTGGTTTACATTCTTACATGTTAAAATTCTTAAGCAGCCCAAAAAGTCATAGCTTGCAGTCTGAGCATATGAAGGTTGAGCAGAAAGAGAAAGCTCATGAAGTCCAGATACACTTCCCTTGAAGTCCAGATAATATACAAAAGAACATGCTTAATTAAAGATAGTTCACATTACAACTGAGGTTGAGAACATCTTCATGGAGATCTCAACATAATATTGCATTTTTCTTTTGTTACAGTTAGAGCAGTAAGTATGAGGTTAAGTTTGGTTTCAGCTCACGTCCTTGTGGTTTTTGCATTCTTAGCAGCTCTTTTTATTGTGATGTTCTGTGTAACATATGTGATGCTGTTCCTGTTTTGTTTTCTGTATATTTTCGCTTAGTTACAGATAGTAATTTGATGATTTTTTTCTTTTTCTTTAAGAATCTGTCATCAGCCTTTAATATTGCTGAACGGAGTGTTGTTATGCACTTCATGCCCATGAAAAAGACAGTAAACTGTTGATGATGAGCATTCCATAGTATGTATTTTCTTATCATGTAAGTAATATTTTTTTATTAATAATCTGCTGATCATTCCTAAATGGCTTCCTTTTGTCTCAGTTCTCATCCCTCATGCTGACCGCTAGGTGTGCATGCATGTAGCCCATGAAGGTGATGATGAGATTGTGATGCATATAACAGTTTTCTTGCACTGAAGTATTCTGTTTTCCTAAGGATAGGAAACAATGTGAGGCATTGGCTGCACGGGGTAAAACTAGACTTGGGGAGTTGTAGTATGACCTGCAAAAAAGGCCATAATCTGTAGGATTTGTATTCAATTTATTCTATTATGAGAACAGTAGAATCTTACACTGATGAAAAACCGTGTTACAGAAGTGTGACTGTTGGGCTGCTTGGGAATCAGCCCTGCATCCTTTTCAGCAAACCCAGCTGGTTTGTCGTGACAACTTTTCCAAAGGCTGATTGAACTGCAGCAATGAATGGGAGCTAACTGGCTGAGCCAACCAGGAGCAGACAGCAATGATGCTAATGTATTGTTGGAGGCATTTTTTTTTTTTCAGTGCTGACTGCACAAAATAGTGTGTCAGTCATTTATTCAGCCTAAAGCTTTCTCTATTCCTTCTCCTTTTTAGACAGTGTCAGAAGCCACATGCGTGGTTTTTCTGCTCAGTCTGTGAAGGCATTCACAATTGTTTCACTCAGATGTAAGGACCCATCTCAGGTCTGTCTCTGTGCCAGCCTGTAAAAAGTGGGTCAGTGCTAAATATTTCTCAAGCTCGTGTTCTCTAATAGTTGCATCACCTTCACTGCTGGTGTTACTGAGAGGTGTAGGATACACAAGGCTTCCATCAGAGCAGGAAGTTTGCCATCATTTTCTGAAGCTGACTGTGCTGCCCTTCACTGCTGTGATGAACACGTCTCTTCTGCCAGTCACAGATTTTTCTGCGTTCAATGATTGTGTCTTGAGTAGAACCAATCTCTTATAGGGTAATGTTAAGTTTGGGGGATACTTCTCATCCTCAATGCAAATCACCTTGGTACAAAAATTGATCAAGTGGCCATATGTTCAAAAGATATATACAGACTGGAATAGGGGAATTTTCCATTCAAAGCCCAGAAAGTTATTGTGTGTTTAGAGGGAAAATAAGTACTTCATCCTATAATAAAATACAGGAAACTTCAACACAAATTCCACTCTTAGTTTTAAAGAAGGATCAAGTCTGTGTGGAAAAAGCTTGCTTCAGAAAGCAAATTAATAAGATGTGACATGGGAGGGAGGGGAACATTTAGAGGCTTTTGAATTGGTATTTCCAGTGCCATAATGTCATTTAGTGACTTGGAATGGTGTCATTGTAGTTAACTTCCTTAGCCTCAGTGAGTGTGAAATACTTGGAAAGAAGGATGGGCTTGTGGTTTAAATGTAAAATTGGAAAACAGGAGATTTATTTTTGGTTAGATGAGAGATAACTTGATTTGGGGGAAACATCACTTTCTGTTTCTTAATATCTGCTTATGAAAACTGGAGATTCACAAAGATTATTGCCTGATTCATCTGAATAGAGGATCAATGTAATGTATTCTAAGACCCAAAGAAGGAAATTAATATTAAAAAGAGTCAACTGATGCCAATAAAAGTTAGTTGACAGTAGATTGGCCTAAGGCGGTATCTGTTACTATTGTGATTGTTTAATTCACAGCTACCTGTAACAAATGAAGGTAACATTTGAAGCTGGTTCTGTGATACTTGTTATATTTACTGCATTCCAGTACCTACTATATCTAGTAGTATTTGCCAGTATTTAAAAATATCTACACTGCTATCTTTACAACTCTTTTTTTTCTTAATATTGTCTGTTCAGTAAATACTAAAGAATATTCTAGAAACTCCAAAAAGCCAAAACAAACAAAAAAACACAGAGCCAAACCCAGCCAAGCAAAATGAAAGCTAACAAGCAAACTGCCTTCATTTCACCAGGTGTGTCAGACACTTCCTCTGCTCTCAAAATAGCATATCTTTAGCAAATTTAGGGTCTTAATATTCAAAGAGGAGTCGCGATCTGAACCCAATGAATCTGTGACACTGGAAGTCCAAGATGGGGAACAGAGCTGGTAGTGTGGTTTCTTGAGGACAGGATACACAAGTTCTTTGTGATGTGGCATCATAGGATCTTTCTAAGGGAATGGGGAGGGGTAAATTAAGCATAGTAAGCATGCATTCATTAAACACCTTTTAAGACCTGTCTGTACCTTCCTTTTTTGACTGCTGCATGCATTTTGAGTCTTTCATATGGAGGAGAACAGCATTACTGTTTGAAATACCTTGCATTTTCCTCCATGTTTCTGCTTCGTTGTTGCTGATTTGCAGTGAAAATCATGGTTCATGTTGCACTCAACAAATAGTCTTTGAAAGAGATTCCTTGGACACTTGTTCCTTTGTCCATAATCCTCCACTTCATCTGCTTGGTATGTGCTAGTCATCTGTCTGAGTGCTTGATGCATTCCTATTGGGCATGTATTACTAATGTCTTGCTGAGCATCACGTCAGCCACCCCTGTGACTTCAACATTTGTGATGCTTTCGTGCTGCTTCGTTAATTGTAAGGTATGAGAGAATTTCTCTATTTCCACAATTTCTCCATCTTCTATGTGTTAGTTTGATACACACCCTCACAGCTCTATGTATGTGGTACAAGTAAGAGCATGGAAGGCAGTTTTGTACACTGTTAATTTATCAAAGATTTGATTCCTGTACTTGTTCACTCAGTGTCCTGAATATGAATAACTACATTGTTAAGAAAACTCCATTTAGATCAATAAATCACTGCCAAAACAAATGAATTTGTAAATGGCTGGATGTCCAGTCCTGCTGGTGGGTATGGAAGTGCAGTATGTGATCTTCCAGTGACTGGTTAATTGTTTTTTCAGATTGGTATTCCAAAAGCAGCAACAGTTAACCAAAAGCAGACAATCCTAATTGAAGTAGGCACCATGTCTGACCAGCACAGTTATTGACACACAAGAATGCCAGAGAGACTGCGGAGGAAATCTTAAATACTGAGTGCAGCCTGGACAGATTAAATGATCTTACCACCATTTGTGAGTATACATGATTTCAAAAAGTAGCACGTGTTTAAAGTTGCTCTGTACTTAAGTACCACTGGGTTTGACTTTACAACACGTCCTCTTGCATGCTGGAAGGAAAGTGTCAGGTTGCCCTACACCTTCATTCACAATGCAGCCAAAATGTTGCTTTTGGCACCTGTCCTGAATTTGGCCGCAATGTAATTTGTGGGTATTTTCCTTCTGTGTGTTGGAAAGATATAGCCGGATGCTGGTACCAGAAAGAAATCCCTGTGGTTATCTTAAGGAGGACTTCTCCCTTTTTGCCCATAAAATCTTGACAACAAATTAATCCTGCAAGGGCTGTGGGCTGATCCCTCATCACGTATCTGAGTGGGGGAAAAAAATAATTCAATCAGTCAAGAGCTGGAAATCAGCTCTGTTTCAGCAAGAATCTAATCTAAGCCAGATGCTCCCCTGTCTTTCCCAAATGCTACTGTGTTATTGCATGGGTTATCAGCCTTCTATTGATGTGAATGGAAGGAATGGCATTTGGTCTTTGGTGTAGTTTTCATGTCTAGCTCAGTTCTCCATGGGGTCTGCTGTCTCAGCACAGGTAACAAACACCTTGCAGAATTATGAGCTTTTAACATTTTCTTTTTTTTTTTTTTAATCTGTCTGAATGGTATTGGATTGATACTGTGGACAGGAGCCTTAGCACAGGGAAATTGGGGTCCTCAAAAAATAATGGAAGGGTGCAGGGTTTTCTGCTGAAGATTTCAGTAAGTGGTAAAACTGATCTGAGAAGTGTGATTTTATAAAACTCACTAGCTCAATTCATCCCTTGTGCAAAACATCTTTACTACTGTCATAACCACAGTGTTGCTTGTATATCTGTGAAATGTTATAAAGGTGCAAAATACTCTGAGCAGAACTTCCAGCTCAAATCTGAAGCCTGAAATCATATTTTAGGAAGCTGGCATCTAAGTGCTCCCTGAAGGGTTTGGCTTTGTGTTACAGCACAAACTGGAAGGTCTTTGTTTTCATGGTCTAAACTGTGTGAGACTTGTAGCACCAGCTGATGAGATTAGCTGTGTTGCATGCACACATCAAAACCAATGCTACAATCTACTGGGAGCTGTTGGCCCATCTGTCTGTAATAATCAGAGCACTGTGAGTGGTTTTGACCACTAAACTGGAGACAAATTGTTATTTAGCGTCCCCCAGAACGTCCCCATGGCAGTAGTTCATAGAAACCAAGCAGACATGGCTGCCATCTTTTAGTGCTTTAATGTGGAACAGAGCTGGAGTCATCCATGTTGGTAGTGCCATGTGGTGCACAGGTCCTGCTTTGAACCTCTGGTTTCTTTGGCTGGGGCGAGGGGCACCTGGCTACATATGCTAACATCAGAGCTATTAAAGGAAACTTTAAGCCAGAACAAAGCAAACAACAAGTTGTAATCCTCGTGAAAAGCATGGTTCTGGAAGAACCGCGTTTGGCAAAAGTAGGCTGAATCTTAATGCGCTTACCTATCTATGCCCGTGGACTCTGCTCGTGGCGAGGGGCGGGGTGGCTGTCGAACCTCATGTGATAACAGCTCCTTCACAAAATCGAAGCTCTGCCTGTGCTCTACCGTCGCTGCCCGCTGTTCTCCCCTTGTCGTGCGAGGAGGGAGGGAGGCGCAGGGCGGCTGGGGGAACGAGGCGGCGCTGAGGCGCGGTCCCGCCGCCAGGTGCCCCTCAGCGGGAGGCGGGCAGCCCGCCCTCGGGCGCCCCTAACGGTCATGGGCGGCACGGCCGCTCCTCGGCGGCACCTCCTCCGCCCGACAGCGAGACGGGCGGGCGGCGCAGAGTGGCTCTCCGCTGCCGCTCCGAAGCTCTCGCGGTGCAGCCGGGGCGTGCGGTAGCCGTGGTACCCTCAGCACCGCGGCTCGTCTCTAGCACCGCAGCTCCCCCCGCAGCGGCCGGCCCGCGTCGCTGGGGAGCCCCGCCGGCCATGGAGCTCTCCGTGCGGCTGCTGCTGGCCTCCTGCCTCTCCCTAGGGGCGGCCGGAGAGTTTGACAGAAGGTAGGGGCCGGCCGCGCGGGGCGAGCGCCGAGCAGGGGTTGCCACGGGAAGGGGGCGCGGGCCGTGCCCCGGGCGAGCTTCGGCAGTCCCCGGGGTGCGAAATGGCGCCGGGGGGTCCTTGTCGCACCCGGGGCCGTCTCCTCAGCTAGGCGGGGCGCCCCGGAGCCGGCGGCCGCAGGACGGGGCGGGGGGGGCGAGCGCGGGCACCGCATCGCCCTCTCCTGCCCGGGGCCGTGCCCGTGCTCGGCTCCGGGGCGTCAGCGCCGTCACGACTGCAGAAAGTTGGTCGCTGCAGCGGGGTCGCGTTCTCTCAGGATTAAACGCGAAGCGCCTCACGTGCTGCGAAAATAAAATCAGTCTATTGACGCCTCGAGGCACTAGAAACAGAATACGGCGGAGAACTGCGACTCAAGTTTTAACACGAAGCCGGGTGAGAGCGGCCGCGGGGCGAAGAGAGGAGAGCCGAGCCCCTGCGCGGGGCCGGAGCGTCAGGTGGGGCGCGCGGCGCGGGCTCGTGCCGTGCTGGTGCGCGGGGCAGCGCCCTGCTCGCTGCCTTCCCTCCTGTCGCTGAGGCGCGCGGACAAGTCACGGCAGCGCTCTGCCGTCGCCCAAGGCTGCGCTGCCTCTTTCCCTTTAGTTTTTATTTACGTCTCTCTAGTTCTCCCTTTGTATTTATTTACCGTGTAACGTGAAGCTCGTGTTTTGATTTTTTTCTTTTTTCCTCCTCCCTTCAAGTTTTAGTAAGAAAATTTGGTGACATATCGCGAAACAAATCAATGCTGAAACTCTGGATGGTGGTTAATTGCGTGTTATAGATAATTTCACAAGTCTGCAACGATTTAATTGCGACCTGTGAGCGGCAGCAGCGAGCACATTGCGAAACGTGTCCGTTGTTTCAGGTGGTACAAAGTTACGCCAATTATCTTCTGCCTAAAGCTATGTCCAGTGTCTGAACAACACGCTGCATTCGTAACAGAAATATCACAGGCTCAGGTCAGAGCACTTTACCAGAAAAAGAAGTGTTTTGTTGTTATTGTTGTGAAGTTCAGAATGATTTTAGTTAGCTGCTTCCAAAGGGTTTCACCGGCTGTCTTTGAACTGTCTCATTCAGGTGGCCCAGACAAATAGTTTCCTCTGCAGGACTGTGCCGGTTTGGAAGCAGAATTGACTGCTGCTGGGGCTGGGCCCGTTTGGCCTGGGGACAGTGCCAACGTGAGTATCATTGCTGCTGGGGCTTCTAGTCACTTATAGGAGAGGCTTGGACGTGCTCCTAGCCATCCTTCATACACAGTCTTATAATGGATGGCCAAGGCTTTTGCACGTGTGAGTCTGGCTTAATTAAAAGGATGTCATCAGGTCAAAATCCAGTCTGTTATTAACAGTTCTGAAAATGATTTCAATCAAGTAAAGTAAACTTTGGCTAAGGCAATGAGAACCTGTGAATTTCTGTTTTGTTTCCACTTCATTTCATTCCTAATAGCCTGACATAACACTTAAGTGTTATGTTACAGGCAGTGCAGGCCAGAATATTTATATCTGAGAAAGAAATCTAAACAATTGACATTTCATTTTAAAAGTCAATGGATATACTCAAATTGATACTAAAGCTCAAACATTCTCACAGTAATCCCGAACTAAGGATATATAAACCAGCCTGACAGCATCCTTTTATTGGGCCACACATGAAGAAAAACATCTCTAAAATTATTATTTTCTAATAGTATATTAGAATCGTATTCTAACATGCTATTTAAAATCCTTGAAAATGGCAGGATAACAAAATAGATAAGTTCATCATTCAGGGTATCTTCTAAAAGTACTCTATGATAGCAGCTAGGGTGATGTAGAAGTTCAGGTTGTTAGGAATTACAGACCTCAGTTTGTTAAAATTACAGGCTTTGATTTTGGGAACGCTGGCTCACGTGCCTAACAGTTCACACAAATGGTTTCTCCAGAGTTTTTGCAGGACTAAACCTACAAATAGCTCTTTTTGCTTTTTTAATTAAGATGCAAATGACTGAACTATTTTTTGCTAAGCCACTTTTAAAGCAGAACAGGTGTTGAATATTGTTAGATGCTAGCCTGCGGGACAGTGACATAAACAAGCAGCAGGCAGAGAGACAGGCAAAAGATAGAAGTAGCACTGGCAATGCAACTGCACACTCTCAGCAAAGGTTTTGTTCAAATCCGTGAATGGCAGCACTGGCTCCTTCTATCCTAAGCATGTTAAGAGCTTGCAGTGTTTAATAGGTATATAAGATGACTGGTAAAAAGCTGTGCAAAGTGCTTTTGGAACATAACACGCCTGCTACTGTTATGAGATGAGAAGATCTCAGATTGGTATCTCTGAGCCTGTATCATGAGTCATTTTGAGTTTTAAGGCTGTAGTTCATAACAGAAATATTTTTTTCCCTGGGATGGATGCTTATAGAGAAGGAAGAATAATGTGAGGTAGTTGATTGTATCTACTCCAGAGGTGATAGAATCTATGTCTCTCTTTTTGAACTTGTATTTGGAAATTGTTAAGCATTTAAGTGTTTGAGGCTATGGACATTTAACTGACAAGTATCAATAATTTGCACTGAAATAAAAGAGATCTCGCTGCGGCTTTTCACTTAGACAAGTCATCTCCTGTGTGATGGCCATAAATTTAAACTTGCATTTAGCTGGAAGTCAGCTACAGATATACTTGCCCTTTAAATTCTCTCTCACCAACTCTGATTTGGGGTTGCTGTTTTCAGAGTCTTGGGAGATGGCAATAGCATAAAGTAACACTAGCAAAAAAAGTCATAACTAAAAGTAAATACATATACACACACACACACACACACATATATATATATAGTACAGAGGTTTTCTGTATTATTTTTCTTACCCTGAATTTTGTCAGTAAGATTATTTGTAGTGATTTGCCATCTTCTTCAGATACCATTAATGTTCTTTTTTTAAGGCTGAATCTAAATGATTCTCTATCTACTGTTGAAGTGCATTATTCACTCTTTCAAGGAGTGCAGAGATTGATTCTATATGGTCATCTCCAGTAGCTGGGACCAGATTTTAAAAGGAATACAGTTCTCATCTAAGTGTAGAAATACTTTGTTTCCTTTTTTTTTGTTTTGTTTTAAAGACTATTGAGAACTTAGAAAAGCATCAAATGTGCGGGTGAAGACCTTGCTAAAAACTTAGCAGTTATTTCTAGTTCTGAAACAGGAGTCAAAGTCTGAGAAAAGTATAGCAGGGAACTCTGTTCCAGTTGTGGGTGGTGAAAATTCCAGTCGTATCACAGACTGTGAGATGATACCAGACGAAAGTGAATCTTTCTAGTGCTGGCAGCCAAATAGAATATCTGTAGTAAGCTCTCCACCTTGGGAATGAGGCATTCAGCGTGAAGGATTAACCTCACATGGAAGGCAGCATTCCTGGCCTCAACTGCAGCCTTGAGTGTTTGACTGTATAAAGGGATATTTCTGAAAAGGTTCCAAAAAAATCAAGGATACGATAGAGAAAGGCACGCCTCTTACTCCTGTCCCCAGAATGAGTGGCATAAACGTTAACTTTCCTTTACCAGATGTATGTTTTCTTGGCCATTTCCAGAATAAATGGTAGTTATGCAATGAAAACAAGTATAGAATCAGACTTAAAAACAGGCTGTGAGACCCTGTTCACTGTGAGTTCGAAAATGAAGCAGTACATATTCAGGCAACAATGCTGAGCTTTTTGTTAATGGACATGAACTGCTGTGGTCAAGCCAAGTGGTTTGAATCATCTTTGCTATGCCTGCAAGTGCTCCAGCACATTTGCACTCTCACCTGTTTACTCATGCATAACTTGTTGTGTATACACCAATCCCATTTGAGTTTATCTTACTGGGAGCAGATGTGAGTGCCATGCTGGAGACAGAGAATAGCAAGAATTCAGGCTCTGATACATGAGAGAGCTGCAACCTACAGTTACCAGAAGGATTCTGAGCTGTGATTTCAGGCTGAAGTTGTGCTAGCTGCTCTACCGAACACATGTGGGCCAGTCTCCTGCCCCAGCCTATTGAGAAAAGAACGTGGTAGCTTAAGACAGCTGTGTGGTTTCAGATAATGGTTTAACTGTGAGGAAGGTTTAAGCCTGTGTATGTCAGCTTTAGAAGGGCAGGAGTGTGGCCCAGCTGACAAGTGGTAACTCATTAAGCCATAGTAATGCAGTGCCTGTGATTCATCATTCATCCATAAAGATGCACCTGGAAACAGAACCACGTTAGCTAGATTTGCTTTTGAAAAGTGTGGAGTAATTCCTTTTTCTCCACACTTCTCCATTGCAGGACGTAGGGGTGTCCAGCACAGCTGTGCTTAGTGCTGCTCAGGCAAGCAAAAGTCAGCATAACTCTGCTGTCCTTTTGACAGCATGCAGGAAGAAGTCAAAATCTGAACCCTCCTTTAATTTATACTCTAAAACATCTTCTGTCTCCTGTGAATGAATTATACCAGTCAGGACTTCTGTGTGCTTTTTTACACGTACATCTGATATCTGTCACTTGTAAAAATAAGGCTTTCTTGCATTTTTATGTGTTGCTGTTATGCACATGGCAAAACTGTAAAACAGAGTAAAAGTGAGGATAGAAGAA